GGTTTCATCACATTGGCCAGGATGGCCTTGAATCCCCGACCTCGTGATCCCCCTGCCTCGGCCTCCCAAAGTGCTGGGATTACAGGTGGGAGCCACCGTGCCCGGCCAGCTATACCTAATTACATTACTTTTTAAATTCTTGCTCTAGGCCTTAGAAAACACATCCATAACTTTTCACAGCCTAGGGATAGGTTAATATTCTACTTCTTCATGTAGAATATGAAAACCTTACAACCATTTTAGGCCCGTACACCACCAACTTTCACTATTTCCTTTTTTTTTTGAGACGGAGTCTTGCTTGTCGCCCAGGCTGGAATGGCATGATCTTGGCTCACTGCAACTGCTAGCTCCCAGGTTAAAGTGATTCTCCTGCCTCAGCCTCCTGAGTAGCTGGGATTACAGGCATGCACCAGCATGCCTGGCTAATTTTTGTTATTTTTAGTAGAGACAAGATTTCACCATGTTGGCCAGGCTGTTCCGAACTCATGACCTCAGGTGATCCGTCCGCCTCGGCCTCCCAAAGTGCTGGGATTACAGGCATGAATCACTGCACGCAGCCCCATTATTTCTTTTTATGTATCTATGTATTTATTTATTTGAGATGGAGTCTTGCTCTGTTGCCCAGGCTGGAGTGCAGTGACGCGATCTTAGCTCACTGCATCTTCCACCTCCTGGTTCGATTCTCCTGCCTCAGCCTCCCCAGTAGTTGGGATTACAGGTGCGTGCCACCACACCCAGCTAATTTTTGTATTTTTAGTAGAGACGGGGTTTTGCCATGTTGGCCTGGATGGTCTCGAACTCCTGACCTCGTGATGTGCCCACCTCAGCCTCCCAAAGTTCTGGGATTACAGGTGTGAGCCACTGCACCCAGCCAACTTTGTAGTTCTTTAAGATGCGTCATTAGGTTGTTTATTTGAAGTTTTACTTTGTTTTTTGATGTAGATACTTATAGCTATAAACTTCCCTCTTAGTACTGCTTTCACTGTATCCCATAGGTTTTGGTATTTCGTGTTTCCATTATTATTTGTTTCAAGAAATTTTTCAAGACATTCTTCTTAACGTCTTCATTTTGCCACTGGTCATTCAGGAGCACACTGGGTAATTTCTGTGTGTCTGTATAGTTTCCACAGTTCCTCTTGTTATTGACTTCTAGTTTTATTCCATTGTGATCAGAGAAGATGCTTGATATTATTTCAATTTTTTGAATGTTTTAAGACTTGTTGGCCGGGCACGGTGGCTCACGCCTGTAATCCCAGCACTTTGGAAGGCCGAGGCAGGTGGATCACGAGGTCGGGGATTCAAGACCATCCTGGCTAACACGGTGAAACCCCATATCTACTAAAAATACAAAACAAAATTAGCCAGGCATGGTGGCAGCCGCCTGTAGTTCCAGCTACTTGGGAGGCTGAGGCGGGAGAACGGCGTGAATCCAGGAGGTGGAGCTTGCAGTGAGCCGAGATCGTGTCACTGCCCTCCAGCCTGGGTGACAGAGTGAGACTCCGCCTCAAAAAACAAACAAAAGACTTGTTTTGTAACTTAACATATGGTCTATCCTTGAGAATGATCCATGTGCTGAAGGAAAGAATGTGTATTCTGCAGCCATTTGATGAAATGTTTTGTAAATACCTATTAGGTCCATTTGGTCTATAATGCAGATTAAGTCCGATGTTTCTTTGTTGATTTTTCTGTCTGGAAGATCTGTCCAATGCTAAAAGTGGGGTGTTGAAGTCTCCAGCTATTATTGTATTGGGGTCTATCTCTTTCTTTATTATAATATTTGCTTTATATATCTGGCTGATCTAGTGTTGGGTGTACATATAATTACAATTGTTATATTCTCTTGCTGAATTGACCGTTATCATTATATCATGACCCTCTTTGTCTCTTTCAGTTTTTGTCTTGAAACCTATTTCGTTGCCTGGGCATGGTGGCTCACGCCTGTAACCCCAGCACTTTAGGAGGCCAGGGTGGGTGGATCTCTGGAGGTCAGGAGTTTGAGACCAGCATGGCCAACATGGTAAGACCTCATCTCTAGCAAAAATACAACAATTAGCTGGGCGTGGTGGCAGCAGCCTGGAATCCCAGATACCTGGGAGGCTGAGGTACAATAATTGCTTGAACCTGGGAGGCAGAGGTTGCAGTGAGCCGAGATCATGCCATTGCACTCCAGCCTGGGAAACAAGAGTGAAAAAAAAAAAAGAATTGGCCAGGCGTGGTGGCTCACACCCATAATCCCACTAATTTGGGTGGCTGGGGCAGGTGGATCACTTGAGCTCAGGAGTTCAAGACCAGCCTGGGCAACACGGGGAAACCCCATCTCTACAAAAAAAAATACAAAAATTAGCTGGGCATAATGGCACGTGCCTGTGGTCCAAGCTTCTCGGGAGGCTAAGGTAGGAGGACCACTTTAGGCCGGGAGGTTGCAGTGAGCCATGATCTCGCCACTACACTCCAGCCTGGGTAACAAAGTGAGACCCTGTCTCAAAAAAAAAAAAAAAAGAAAGAGGAATAAAAGAATGGCTACTGGCCGGGCACCGTGGCTCAAGCCTGTAATCCCAGCACTTTGGGAGGCTGAGACGGGCGGATCACGAGGTCAGGAGATCGGGACCATCCTGGCTAACCCGGTGAAATCCCGTCTCTACTAAAAAATACAAAAAACTAGC